ATAAATTATCATTAAATTAAAACACATTAATTATCATTAATTTATCATATTTATAATATTTAATATATTTAATTAAATTAAATTAAAATGAAAATTAATTATAATGATATATTTATATATAATTTAGTAAAATAATATATTTTAATTAAAAATATTTTAATTATTAAACTTATAAATTTAAATATATTTATTTTTACAAGAAAATCTACAAGAAACAAACATTTTCTGTAAATTTTTACCATTGAAAAAAATTTCTATGATCATTAAAATTGTAGCGAAATTTGAAAAAATTTCTTGTAGATTTTTTTTCATAAAAAAATTTGTAAGAAATATTTGTAAATAATTTTTCCTAAATAAATTCGTAAAAAAATTTTGCAATATTATAATTTCAAGAAAGTTTGCAAAAAGTTTCCGCGAATATTTTTTTGTGGAAAAATTTGCAGAAAAATGACACTTTTCTAGTAGTGTGAATTTCAATGAACCTTGCTATTTTCATTAGTTTTGACTATTGAGAGGTGCAATATAGCACATTGATTGTCATATTTTAAGGCAAAGACAAAAAAAGGCATGGAAATATGAATAAATAAAGACCAAATTGTCTTACAAAAACAATTTAGAAGTGGACCCACTCACTTAATTACAATCAATTTTTTATTTTCTTGCACTATGTTCACTAACAAAATGAATCTGAAGTCCTTTTTCTTGCTATGTTTTCTTTCTGGGGTGATTCTCATCACTACGATGATGGGTGATGAGCCTTCTAAAAATGGTATTGAGCACAAAGCTAATATATGTCAATGACATGTAATTGAGTAAGAGTACATTCTAAATATTAAGTACATGAAAAAATGACATTTTGTTGACAATGTAGGAGGATCAAATGAAAGTTAAGAAAACTCTAGTGTATGCGATGACGAGAATTACTGTAAGTATTTTCTTTCCTCTTCTCATACTTTGTTTATTTTAATGCAACTATGATGGAATCATGCTTTGGAGTGCAAGAGGTGACA